AGGACAGGCAACAGTGTCAAACGTAGTGCATTTTATAAAAATACACAAGAGCACCAGACAGGAGCTGTGGTGCCAACTCCCCAGATGTGATACCGAAACTCTCCAGAGGGCATCTTCATTGTTTTCTTTCTTTGTTCCAGAAGCAAAGGCCGATAATGAACCGAGCTGTTCGCCGGCAGCTCAAGAACTGTTGACAAGGCTGGGATTTTTACTGGGAGAAGGGATCCCAAGTGCCACACACATAACCATTGAAGAAAAAAATGAAACCATGGTAATGCCCGAGGAGGCCACTGCACCCCATACCTGCCCAGAGGATGAATGAAGGGACAGCCATCTTCTCCCACCTGGAGTGGGGAAGTCATTGTTTAGTCAAATAAGTTTGGGCTGTTGTGTATTGAAATGTATTGCAACTCCTTGTGGATTTTTGCAGGGGGCGGGCAGGAAAGGGGGAGTGGGGAGATGCAGAAGGGTGCAGAACTTAAGAAAATGTCCACATTAACCTTCCACAGTCACCACCTGGAGAAGAGTGGCTAAATGAATTGAAGTGGCTGAGAGAATTCCTCAGTAATGATGCTCCTTTTATCTTTATAGCCCCATTTTTCTCATGTGGCTGCTTTGGTATATGCTTTCCTGTGCTTTTTTTTTTTTTTTTTTTTTTTTTTTTGTAAGCACTTGAGATTTGGGAGGGTCAGCGGGGTGAGGAAAAGATTTATAGGAGATGAGGCAGAGACAAAATGAGATGAAACCAAATGGTTCATCTACCAGAGAGCACTCCCTATCCCGGGGCATGGCAGCCTGCCACTCTGAGAGGAGATATGTCCGCTGAATAGCAATGAGGGGCCTGCCAGGGGCTCTGCATGGGTGTCATGCCTCGAATGCGATTGCACTGACCACCAGTCTCCCTTCCCCTGCCCCTGGAGCCCGTAAATCTCCAGGAATTGAATCAGGTTGCAGAGCCCGTGAAACATTATAAAAACAGAGTTCCCAGATTTTCCGTACAGAGGTCAGAGGACCCATTTGTCTTCTGCAGGCTTGAAATGAGAGGAAGTCGGCTTGTTTGCTATTTCTGTTTTCCAAACGTGCGCTCCCACTCAATTATTTCTGAGAGTGCCCTTGCTATAAAAGAGAAAAATCAGCAGGGAGGGGAACAGAGCAAGGATGTTTTCCTTAAACTTTCGGAGACTGTATAAGCTCCCAAGATTTTAAAAACTGTTAATCGTTTTAGCATCAGAAGCAAAAGCATGTGTAGAAGCGTCCTGTGTGAGCCCTGCTAACTTACCTCCTTCCGTTCGTCTTACAGTGCACAGCTCTGAGCCAAGGCATCAGTCCTTGCTCCACACTAACAAGCAGCACCGCATCTCCTAGCACCGATAGCCCCTGCTCAACCTTGAATAGCTGTGTCAGCAAGACGGCAGCCAACAAAAGTCCCTGTGAGACCATTAGCAGCCCTAGTTCCACCCTGGAGAGCAAGGACAGTGGAATTATAGGTAAGAAGCACACTGCTCGGTAATGTAATGGCTCAATGCACGCCAGCCAGAGCATTCATACACCGGCTCTTTTTAAGAGGGTTTAGCACGCTCTGTGAAGGTCGGTCTGTCAGGGCCTGCCTTCTTCTTTGCAGACAGCACTGGCTCTGTGCACAGCCGACAGAATGAAGCATCGGCTTTTACATTCCTTGGCGTTTCTTTTCTAACACTGGACTCATTTGGTAAAAAATTTTCCCGATCGGATCTCGCCTGTGGAGTTACAAGAATCTTGCTGTCCTCACCAATGAGTTGCATTTGTTGGGGGTTGGGTTCCATCCGGACGCAGCAGGGCAGTGAAATCCAGGCATATCTTGAAGTCTCCCCAGTCCAATCTCAAGGTCATTCACATCCCTATGTATTTCCAGGCGTTTGTTCTTTAGTTTCTTATAATGGGATCGGACCAGTTTTGAGGCCAGGATTTTCAATTTTCTGAGCGTGGTCCCCCTATCTATTCCCGCAACACTTACATAGTAGGCGTGCTTGTCCTGCATGAGGGTCAGGAGACACGGATTGTAGTCCTGACTCGTGCTGCTCAGCTGCCTGACTTGAGCAACATTGAATTGAGCTCTTTGCACATCTCTTTCCTCTCTAAAATGAAGCATTCTGCCCTAACCGGTTTGGCTCAGTGGATAGAGCGTCGGCCTGAAGACTCAAGAGTCCCAGGTTTGATTTCGGTCAAGGGCATGTACCTTGGTTGCGGGCACATCCCCAGTGGGGAGTGTGCAGGAGGCAGCTGATCGATGTTTTTAACTATCCCTCTCCCTTCCTCTCTGTAAAAAATCAATAAAGTATATTTTAAAAAATAAAAATAAAATGAAGCATTCTGATTAGTTTAGTAGTGTCTGGTCCCAGGTGCATAGTGGCATCATCCAGGGAATTTAAGAGCCCTTGTTTTCACATCTCATCCCGGACAGACTGCACTTAAGTTTCCGCAGGCGGGCCGGGGTGTCTGTGTGTATCAGGTCTCCAGCTTGGCGCCCTTCAGGTAACAAAAGTGTGGGACCACTGGAGGGTTGTTCAGGTCCTTCTCTGCTCTAAGACCTGCTGTTTAACATCTGTGCGCTACCCAACAGTTCAGCTCCTTCCCTTTGGCTCCCATATTAATATGTAATTAAATGGAATGGCATGTGAGTTCCTTGTCTTCAGTGACCTGCCATCTCTTTTCCAGCGCAGTTTGAAAATCCAAGTTGCAGGTTCACCCAGTCTGTATTTTGGAGGTGGCCCCAGAGGGTCTGTGAGATTCCCGGGTCTGGTTTGTGGGCAGCCTGGTGTCACCCTCACCGTGGCTTTGTGTGGGGCCTCTTAGTATGAGGAAGGCAGCGTCTTCCCTCAGTTTTCACGTGGAATTAGGCTCTTTGCTGGGGTTTTGTTTCATTAATTGCTTTATTGAGATATAATTCATGTACTATAGTATTCACCCATTTAAGCCATTGAATGGTTTTCGTTATATTCAAAGTTATACAACCGTTACCACAATCCGATTTCAGATCATTTTCATCACCCCAGGAAGAAAACCTATGCCCATTAGAAGTCACACCTCATTTCCCCTCTCACCTCCAGCCCTACTCAGGCTACTTTCTGTCTGTATAGATTAGCTGATTCTGGACATTTCATATAAATGGTGGATTGAGGTTTTTGTAGCAAATTTAAATTCTCACCTCACTCTGCTTCCCCACCTGCTGTGTAGTCTGGTTCAGCTAACTTTTCCCTGTTTTACTTCTGTTCTCATGCCTCTCTCTCTCTGAGCTGCTCACCACTGCTAGACCTTTAGTATTGATCTGTGATAGGCAGGTAACTTCCTTTACACCATTCTTAGCTCTTCTGAAATTCCCTCTCCTTACAGTTGATTTTCATTCAAGGAGTTAGCCAGTGCTACCATTTTGGGGGGACAAAAAACTTTTCCTTTTCATTGTATGTTCTGGCATTGGCATTGTGTGCCTCTTACGATAACGAAGCCAGTTTCTTGTTTTGACTTTTCAAAACAATAAGTTTCAAAAAGTTTAGAAACTTTTTCAGTCACAAAAATATGACACTCATTCATTCATTCTTCCCTCTCGCTGTCTCTTATTCTCCCTCTCATGGTGATACAGTGCTGCACTTTATAGAGCTCTAATGAGAGGAAAGAAAAGTTGCTGCTGGGTTTTCTGTATTATCCATGAAAGACCAAGCTTCTGGAATATTGAAGTCCTTAATGGGTGCTTGATGTAATACAGGTCCGCTCAGTCCCAGACTGCTCAGTCCCCTTATTACATGCTCTCCACAGCACCTCAGTATTTCCTTCAGTTGACTTTTTCTTGTTTTATTATTTACTTCTGTTTCCACGTGGAAAGGGGTCTCATCTATTGTATCCCAGCTCTCTCTTGAGCTCCTGTGGCTCAGTGTTGGGAATGAGAAATTAAAGAAGCAATGCAGGATTCCCATCCAAGTTGTCACTGTCGCATCTTTTAATGTCATCTGTATTTTAAGCTCTCTTGTCCTTATAGTTAAATGACACATTTTATGATATTGAAGCTGTCCTTCGCTTTTTGGCTCAATTCAACGTGTTCCCTTAACTCAGCAGATGAGTGGGAGGCATTGAGAAGGGGTAGGTCCCTCTTTTACGGAAAACTCCAGATTGGAGACTGTGCGTCCTGTTGCTGTAGCTGGTCTGCAGGCAGCAAGGGCGTAGGTGGCCAGGATGGAAGCACTGAACTGGTGGAAACGCTCCTCTATGCTCTCTCCTTGCCTGGCCTGCAGAGTGACAGGCTGTTGCCAAGGCACACATGGAGGTGTGGTAGGGAACAGGAAGAAAAGCAAGGGTTTCCTCTCCAGACGGACCGTAGCCACAGCCCTTTGAAGGGGCAGGAGTGGTGGGGCCGAGGAGGGAAGGCAGTTCCTCCTGAGTCAGGACAGGGTGTGCGGGTTCCGTTGCCCCTCAGCAAGCGGGCATCCGTGACTCCGTTGTGGGTCTGTGGTTGCTGGGGCTGCGTGTGTGCTTTTGCTCCCTGAAGAACAGTGTTTGTTTTGATAAGGTATAGCCTGGGAATGGCAACCTTGAGGCCTCGTCAGTGTTTCACAGAATGAAATATTCAGGAACACAGTGATCCTAGTGGGCAGAGATGAAAGGGAGATAGCTTGGCTGTCTGTTTCAAAAGGCCTGGCAGCTGCTGCTCACAGAGGCTGATTCGGATCCATGTTCCAACTTAAAGCCTGCAGATGAGAGGAAGAGGCTTTCCGCTTACTTTTCCGTCTTAAGTTGTATAAGATTTGTCAGTCTGTAGAGCTCAGGTCCAAGTGGCAAAGGTATGGGGGACGGCCAGTGTAAAGCCCACACAGCTTATGGCACTGCAAGCTTTGAGGAACTAGGCAGTGATGGCGAACCTATGACACGCGTGTCAGAGGTGACACGCGAACTCATTTTTTTGGTTGATTTTTCTTTGTTAAATGGCATTTAAATATATAAAATAAATATCAAAAATATAAATCTTTGTTTTGCTATGGTCGCAAATATCAAAAAATTTCTATATGTGACACGGCACCAGAGTTAAGTTAGGCTTTTTCAAAATGCTGACACGCCAAGCTCAAAAGGTTCACCATCACTGAACTAGAGGCTCCCGTACTATAGGGCTCAGATCGGACTTCCATGGCACAGCATTCACACAAGTTATTTGGGACTTTTAGGGAAGTTTCAACCCATCCTTCAACATTCCTGGGCCTCCCCTTCCATTTAAGCTGATTTCCATCAGGCTGCTTATATTTGATCGAAACTTTTGCCCAGCAACGCCAGAGGGGAGCTTGTTCCCACACGCCCAGACAGCCTCCTCGGGGCAGCCACAGGGTGCCTGGCCTGGGTTCTGTTTCCACTGGCTTTGACATATTGCAGGGGAAGAGAATTTTCTTTTTAGGAACTGCTCAGGAGGAGAAAAGGCAGGCTAATAACCATTAGAAGAATTTATTGGGCCCCTTCCAGCCTTTCTCTGTGGAAGCCAGAGCTTAGCAGAGCCCTCCCCGAGCCCCTGTTCCCACTTTATTGTGTTATACAGAGGGGAGTCCCACTTTATCCTATTTCAGGAGGCCCAGGTTCTGCCAACATAAATGCCTTTAGAGGTATAATAATTCTGTCATGTAGAAATACTGTCTAAGCTGAATGGGATCAACTGAATTCCCTATGAATATCTTCTTTCTTTTTTTCCTTTTTTTTTTTTTAAAAAAGCGAAATTCCTTACTCTAAACGCATTGAAATCATTGGCATGACCTAGAAGTTAGTGTCTGATTTTTCAAATTGGCCGTGTGAAAACCTTCTAAATGTGAAACCCAGCTGTACCCAATCATCGTAAACTGGTTTCTCAATTACTTGCTTTGAAAAGGGAAAAACTTTATAAAGAAGTGGCTTTTAAAGGTGTTTCCTCCATGCCTGAGAAAACATTTTGTCTTAGTGATACTCCCTTGATGTAACTTGCTTCCAGCTGTTACAAATAGAAATTGGAATAAAGAATGTTCTCTTTGGGATCTGTGTGTGAAAAGCAATCTGATTTTTTAAAAAATTTATTGATGAGAGAAAGAGAGAGAGAGAGAGAGAGAGAGACATTGATTTGTTGTTCCTCTTAATTGTGCATTCATTGGTTGATATGTGCCCTGACCAGGGACTGAACCTGAAACTTTGGTGTATCGGGACAACACTTTAACCAACTGGGCTACCCAGCCAGGGCACAATCTGTTTTGTTTTTTTAAAAAGCATTACTGCAAATAGTGGGTTTTGAAACATTTTTTCATATAAACATGTTGTTTAATAATTTGTTTATGCCCATAGCATGATCAATGTGTGTTTGTGTATCTATTTTAAGAAAATGGGCTTTTCTCTATTAAGAAAGAAGAAAATTGGTTATCAGATGAGGAAAAACAAACAATACCCAGCTTTCCATATCAAGATTTTTAAAAATAATAAGTCTTTCCGATCCATCAATACATGTGGTCAGGACAAG